AATCGAAGGTTTGAACGATTGAACATTAATTTTGGGAGTCGATGGTTGAAGCTTTGGTTTGTGACTCGATGATTTGATGTCTATGTGTTAAAAGCGAAGCTTTGATCGACTGTAATTTCTTCGATTCCTTTGATTTGGATCGAATATTGAGCCGTGAAGGTTTAATTTGGTAACAGTGATTGTCGATGGTTTAGAATCGATGGTTGGGGAAGGCTATGAACTCAATCGTGTTGTCGATGATTTTGGATGTTGATATCGATTCGGTTTTGACGATTAGTAACGATCTGGGTTTGTAAGTCGATAGTCGATTTGTGTACAACAGAAATCGATGTCGATGGTTGATTATTTGGAAACGCGAAGCGACGAGAGATTCAATAGTTGATGTCGATGATCGGATTTTGGTTTGTGATTTCGAAGGCTGTGATTTTGGGGTTGATCGATTCGAAGGGTATTTGCTTTGGGTTTGGGAAGAACGAACGAAAATTTGGGTTTAATGACTAACGAAAGAAATTTTGATTGTGAACAAATGATCGACTGGGTTGGAAATCTAAACTTAACTGAGTATGAATCAATTAACGAAAATGGGTGTTTGATTTCGTACGAAGCCTTGATGTTGAGCTGTTGTTGTATGAACGAAGTGTGTTGTTCTTTCAAACGAAAAACTGTAAGAACGAAGTTATGATTCAGAGGTTGGATGATTAAGATGTTACTGTTCATTAAAAGGCTTCGTTATGCTTCGATTTCGTATGAAAATTTTCGTATGCTTTGTATGTTGAGAATTTTTGTTTGATTGGGGAAGATGAAGTTTCATACGGAGAGGAGAGAGAAAATTTTGGGTGAAGATGATTTTCGTACGAAGAGGAGAGAGAAGGAAAAAGTTTCGTGTGTTTGGGTTGCCTGATTTCGTGTGAATTGAGGAAAAATAAAGCAATGTTACGTAAATGGCCCCTGAAATTTCGTTAGTTTAACACCTTTCCAAATTTTCGTATGAACAGGAGATGCTTTCGTACGAAGCGTTGAAAATTTCGTATGTTTGGAATGGAAAAGCAAAATTTTCGAATGTAGTCCCTCAAGTTTCGAATGGTTGACAAATGGAAAAAGGCTTCGTATGAATGATCAACATTTCGTATGTTTTGATCAAAAAGCAGAATTTTCGAAAACAGCCCCTGAACCTTCGAAAATTTGGCACTTAGAGAATTAATTGAAGTTTCGAATGTTTGACATTTTTTACCCAAATTCGAAAATTTTCTGAAGCTTCAAATGTTTGGGACAACTCTTCGTATGTTTGGTGCACAAAGACAAAATTTTCGAAAATAGTCCCTGAGGCTTCGAATGTTTGGCGGTTCATACCCAAATTTGAAAAAGGACTGTTTTTGCTAAAAAAATTGAAGAAAATGCATTTCAAGCCCCTGCAGTTTGTGCAAATTGACGCTTTCTACCCGGCTTTGGAAAAGGGGGAGAGTTTTGCATATTTTGCTGTTTTGGGCGCACCGGGTCACTGCAGAATTTTGAAATTGACAATTTCTACCTATTTTTGAAAAATTTTGTCAAAGACGATCCGTGAACGAAGCTAAAAATTGAATATTTTTTGGGTTTTTCGGATTGAAGCACAAAGTTTAAGCCACATGTTAAGGGGGAGTTTTGACACGAAAAATTCCGAATAGAGCACGTTCTCTTTCCTTGAAGGTTTTATAATCAAATTTTGATTATAAAAAGGGGGAGAAATTTATATGGAAATTCGAACTTGAATTTTTCATATTACGCGAATTTGAAGACCGAAGTGACCTTAATTTTTGAAGCTTACGAAATGATGAAATTGGAAGTTCGGAAGTGATGTATTCGAAATGGGTTTGGTTTTATTGATGATTTTTGGGGTGTGCTTTATGCTCAACTTTTGGTGATCAATTTGGAGTTTGAGAAGCTCGTGATCATTCGTTGATGCTCGGTTTGTATGGTCTCACATCCTAGAGCCCAAATTGAAGAATCATGGAAGAATTGAAGATTGAAGTTCGTTTCGACATGTGTCACCTTTGAGGCTCAGATCGCATAGTTGCTCGATTTTGGAAGAATTGAAGTGGGTCATTCATTCCTAACTTTGAGGGGGAGAATGTTGGGGTGCACAGTTTTTCTTGAATGACTTTGTAATGTTTGACTTTTGTAAAACCCACTTGCATGTGGAGTATTAGCCTTGTGACACATCAGAGATAGAGAGTGAGAGAGAGACATGTAAACACCTCTATAAATAGTGGGTTCATACCACTTGTAGAGGTGTGCTTGAGAGATGTAAAATTGAGTGTCTAAGTGTGTGTTATTTATGTAGTCTAGATCTAGATCCTTTTTGTGTAACACCATATACAATCAATACATCTCTTGAACACCCAAATCACCATGTTCATTGTGCAAACTTTAATTCCGCATGTCAAACCATGTTCTTATGTCACAACAATACTATCATGATTAAAATATTCTATTTAAAGTGGTAGACATCTAAATGCAATAAACCACACACTCATTAGCTTACCCAAGTATATGTAAAGGTTGGCATGCGTTAGGGCGCCAAATTTGGAGAAGGAGGAGAAGGGTTAGGCCACCAGCATCTTCATTCCTTCACCTTTCTTCGTCACATACTCTTCCACCACATTCCACCACCACTATTGATCGACTTTATCCCCTTCCATCACCACCATTGATCGGTCACTTATTTACCTCTCACCATCTCGTTGTCTTCCACCCCTTACATCATGTTACATAACACTTATTGAAAATTCACCTCCCATCACCACCATTGGTTTTATGCACACTCTGTCTGTAACTACTCGTGGTATTTTGGGAGGGATGTCGGAGATGATGGAAGGAGATACAAGGATGAGGACTCGTAATGGAGAGAGTGAGACAAAGGAGTGTCTAGAAAGTTAGGGTTTTTCTTGTTATTTGGTCATAAATATAATGAAATAATATGTAAATTACATAAATGGTTCTTATGGTGTACTGTATTTTATAGCTTTGGTCCAACAGTAATAATTTTTTATCATGTAAAAAAAATTAACAAGACAAATTTAGATAACGATTGAGAGACCAATTAACCACGAGCACTTCCCGAGTAAGCGAAATATAAAGTTGGACTAAAGTTGTGCATTTTGAAAAACTAAAGGATCATTTCTTCATTTTTGTCTGACAAATATTTTATAACGGATTAATCCCGTTCTTGATAAAAACCAACTTCTATAAAGTATAAACCCACATTTAGACAGTTGAACATAAACACCAACATTCATTTAATAATCACATTCTTTTTCCAAACTAAAACGAGGTTCAACCAAACATATAACGGCGCCATAAATCCTACGTTGCAAACCCCAACCGAATACAAATCATCTTGTAATAAGGAATTTTCGTTGTTCGAGTGCTTGTGATCTTTGTTCTTTGTCCCATTTCAATCTATTCATTGATCAGTTAAGATGACTTCAAGGGATGTTGTTGAACAAGAAAACCGAGGTATACCCTTATTCAAAACTAGCTTTTGATTGAATCTCGTATGCTTTGTTTCTTGAAGTTGTTCTTAGGCTCAGTAGATTTACTGGTTTTGTAATTGCTCCTCTGTTAATGCTTTTTTTTTTTTCTGGTTAAATTGCGTATAATCAGTATATGATTTCAGGGTTTTTGATCCTTTTTCTTGGATGATTTTCTATTGATGTGTGAAACTTTATGTTCTTTCTCTTTCTAAACCATCGTAATTTAAATTCTTGATTGTTGTTGCGTTTTCTTAATTGGAAAGATTACTACAAGGGATTTTGTTGTAGAAGAAAACCGAGGTATACCCTTATTCAAAACTCGCTTTTGATTGAATCTCGTATGCTCTGTTTCTTGAGGTTGTTCTTAGGCTTAGTGGATATACTGGCTTTGTAATTGTTTCTATGTTAATGCTTTTTATTTCTGGTTAAATTGCATATAATTAGTATATGATTTCAGGGTTTTTGATCCGTTTTCTTGGATGATTTTCTGTTGATGTGTGAAATTTGATGTTCTTTCTCATTCTAAACCATCATAATTTAAATACTTGATTGTTGTTGGGTTTTCTTAATTGGAAAGTTTGAATGTTAATTTTGTCATCAAATGTAAAGGAGAAGAAGATACTGAGTGAAATCGACAATCTCATTGCAATCACTCGCCCTGTTACAAGAAGTTTCCGTGCACAATTGATCGCCAATACAATACCTGAAAACCAAAAGGTGAAAGAAAAAAAGTTCTCAAATTTATTAATTAATCGCTCAAATTAAACATTACACAATTTTTTTACATAACTTTTTTTTTGTTTTCTTACTATGTAGAATTTATTAGTTTTTTTTTACAAAATTGACCCACGACTTTTTATTGATGGTGTTTTACAGAAACCAATGGCAGTGAACGTAAATAAGTTAAAAGCTACAATAATCAAGACAAAACCACCATCGCTGCCACAAAATGCAACCGTGATCGAGATCAGTCCAGACCAGTGTTGTAAAACTCGCCGAGTTGGCCGATTACTCCTCCGAGTACTGGTTACTCGGCCCCTTACCGAGGCGAGTTACAAAATCCCGAGTACTTCCCGATCGGCCCCTTACTGAACTGAGCAGTGTTGTAAAACTCGGTCAACTCGATGATTAATATATATAATACACTTAATGATTTATTATTTAACACACACACATGTGATTATTACTACATATATATCTTAAATTTTCAGTAATTATTCACAAAGTGAGACCATTATGTGTTTTTCAGTTTTTGTGTATTCACATTTATCTAACTTTGTAACATATTTCAATCAACTTATGATTTTGACATATATAATTTCCCTAAAAATATTTCTACATGAATTACCGACTCCGAGTACTCCCCGAGTACTCGCTACTCGGTAGTCGGCCGAACAGGCCCCGAGTAACGAGTTCTACAACCTTGGTCCAGACACTGAAGAATTGAAGAAACCTAAATCTTGGTCTTCACAAAACAAGTCGCCTCAAATGTCACTCACTTCAACACTGACTGCCCGGAGCAAGGCTGCCCATTGCCCGAAACAACCAAATGTTGTCGATATTGATGCTCAAGATGTTGATAATGAATTGGATAATGTAGACTATGTTAAAGACATATACGAATTCTACAAACTTGTTGAGGTACATATATAGATAGATACAAAACCCTAGATGCAACATGTATGTGTGTGTATGTGTCTATATATATATATATATATATATATATATATATATATATATATATATACACACACACACACACAATTTCATTGAATTACTTGATGTGTTTATGATGTAGAATGAAACCATAGTTCATGACTACATCCATACACAACCTAAGATGGCCGAAAAGAAAAGGGCAAGTCTGATCGACTGGCTGATAGAGGCTCATAATGCATTCGATCTCATGAATGAGACATTGTACCTTACAGTCAACATCGTTGACAGTCTTTTGGTGTCTAAAATTTTCGCTAATAGAGAACTAACGTGTGTAGGAGTTGTTGCAATGCTTATTGCATCAAAAATATGTAGAAATGTAGACAAATCCAATGGTGTATGGTTTTGTGGAAATCTTGAATAATCAGTACGAGAAAGAAGATGTTTTGGTGATGGAGAAATGGATTTTAAGTCAAATGGAATGGAGTTTAACAGTTCCTACGCCGTGTGTGTTTCTCACGAGCTTCATCAAAGTCGTCGCAGCCATAACCCCACTTGAGATTGAAGTACGTATTGATTTCATTATTTTTTTTATTTAGGTATAAAATAAAAATGGCATGGGGGTAAAATGGTCATTTTACAATAACTTAACGCCTCATATCTAATGGTGTTAGCCAGCGTACCAAACGCCCAACAAACTGAAACCACGAGGATTGTCCATGTAACGAAGTTCGATAGTTGGACTGAACTTCTAATTTCCACTAAATCACAGGGACCGTTTTTGTAATTTGATTATGATATTTGGAATATTTGGAATACCAATTACAATATTTGGAATACCAGTTATAGGTGGAACTGATGGTGTATTTCTATGCAAAATTGGGAATGATGAATTACCATATCATCATAAGATTTTGTCCATCTATGGTCGATGCGTCAGTGGTTTATGCTGCACTCAAAGCCCTTAACAAAAACCTTGTGTGACATAAAACACTTGAAATGCACACAAGGTTTACAGAAACACAAGTGATGGAATGCATGAAGATGCTGGTGGTATCTCATCTAATGGTGAAGGATGGCGAGAAGGAGAAGGCAATATACAAAAAGTACTTGAGGCCCAAAACTCTATTGTCGTAGTATAAGGATACTAGAATAGACGAGGTATATGGTAGGGGAGATGAGAGGAAAATGGTAGTGCATATTGAACGATAATTGTGAATATATATTGGATTTCAATCACTAAAATGTTCTATTACTTTTATCCGTATATATTAGGAAATAGTCACGATAATCATATCTTTTAAGTTTTTAATATTATTTATAATTAAAATGTAAAATAAAATAATCCCACCCTACTTGTAATTGAAATATTTCTTCTAGGTTCATTAAACAAATAATTTCACTCTTGTTTCGTGAATATTACAAGTTTACAACATTTTCTTTTTCCCGGATGTCGAACCTCGTTTCGCTTGGCTTTCTAAAATTCGACGATAAAAGTCAATTCCAATCTTACACCCACTGTTTCTACACAATTTATTGTCACGAGATGACTCAATCACCGTGTGCCACTTGGTGTTTCTTCGAATAAGTCAGGCTTGGAACACTTCCTTACGATGTACTAACGACTGGGATAGCAAGAGAGATATGATAACGAATGCTACGAAGTAAGAAAGAAAGCTTCTATAATAGACTCGGCTACTTTACAAGGCAAATTCCCAATGATTCCTACAAATGAGGCATCCTTCCTATTTATAGGTACCTTACACCTCCTCAAATGGAAGTTTCTAAGTCCCGATCATTCTTGACTAATCTAGACTCTTCTTATTATATACATGGCCTTTACAAGACTCTAGAATATGGTATACTTGTCTACGATGCTCTAAAAATATCTAGGTCGTCCCGACATTATCCAAATCGTTCTTGTATGATCTAGCGTGTTCTAGATCGTTCCAAAGTCTTCCGGGTCATTCTAGCTTCGTCTAGTGCCTTAATGGCATTATTGTAATTTGAGGCTTCGGATAAAATTTTTCATTTTTAATTAAGGAAAAATCATTGTTTTCAATCAAACCTAAGTCATAAGAAACCCATATCAAGTACAAATATTCCAAAATCAATGTATCAAAATATCTCGCAAACATGTCACCGAAGGATGTGTACGATCACACCTTTATTTTCCTCCGATTGTAACATCCCGATGTGAGGTACTTCTAAATTAACCCCCTTTAATTCATTTATATTGCATTTGGTCCCAAAGTTCAAAGAGTGGATGCAAAAAGGGCCTACTTGCTAAAAGAGGAAACCTTAATTTTTAGGTTTTGGCTGGTATTTAAGCATCCTTATGGCCTCATTTCCCTTCACCTTATCAACCTCCACCCTCTCATTCGTTTTTGTAACCCCAGTTCACCTTGAGAAGCCATTTCTAGCCTAAAAGTGTGTGTTTGTGTGCTTAGTAGAAGAAGGAAGGAAGTCGAGCTCATTTTAAAAGAGTGAAGCACTTTGGATTTGGGACTTACTCTTCATTTGCAACCCTTCAAAGGTATAAAGCTTGCAACTTTATCTTTCAATCATGTAGATATAGAAATGGGTGTTTTAGTAATGCTTTTTGGTCCCAAATGTCTTATCTTGAGCATGGCATGTTCTTGACGATTTGAGTTGTCCTTTCAGACCCTAGGAGGGGTCCTAAGTCATAAAAATGAAGCCCCAATGGTTAGTTTTGTTCCATGCATCTTGTAGAAGGTCTTAATGGATTAAAACCTTGTGTTAAGCACTTAATGGGCATGTAAAGTCATAGAGTTGGAAAACTTTATGACTCTAGAGTGTAATTTAGCCTTGGATCTTAAATATGGACGTAAGTGCTTAAGACATTAAGCACTTAATGAATTTTGAAGTTTGCAAGAGTACGCCCTGTGTACGAGGTCAACCACTCCGATGGTGGTCAACCTGCGGGGGCTCGTGTACGCCCAGCATACCTAAGGAGTACGCCTCGTGCACGCACCCTGAGTTGACTCGGTCTAGTTGACTCGGTTGGGTTGACTCGACTGGGTTGACTCAGTGGGTTTGACCAGTTGACTTTGACCAAGTTTAACCTTGAGTGTATTTTGGGATTTTGATGAAAACATGTCATTGGTGGGATTAGGTGTCGGTTAGAGAGCTGAGATTCGGAGTCAGGACCTCATTCAATTTGTGAGGTGAGTTTTCCTCACTGTACCTGCGGGTCGAAGGCACCAAGGCCGATCCTTTGGATTTGATATCCTGTTATGTATGCTATAGTACTGTAGTGATATGTTAGATTGGTATACTGGTATATAGGATGTTGCTATGCTTAGTGATCAGTTGATCTGTCTGTTGTCTGTTGGATGATAAAATGAAAAATTTTGTCACGTAAAGTTGTCAACTTTACATGATAAGTCATCTTTTGGGTCAATATCTAAGAGTATGGGGTAAGGGCTGAACGGATTAAGCACTTTTGATGAGGGTTGGCCAATTGGGAGTACGTTGGGCATACAAGATGGTACGCCGCATGCACTAGCCCCAGAGCATGTACGCTAAGCCTACGAGCTGAGTACACCCAACGTACTCAGCAGATGGGCTTCGGAAGTTTGGGCTTCTCGGCTTTATGACATGTTTGGATTCCAGATGATTAGGGCCTTGTTGGGCCAAGGTCTATTTTGGGCTGATGCTTTTATTTTGGGTTCACTTGGTTGAAGGCCCACGAAGGGACGTGGGCCCAATTTGGAAAATTAGGCCATATTTGAGCGATTATTTTGGAATTTGGACCTTTTGGACAGTTGGATTTGGGCCTTGGCCTTAGGCCAAGTTAGGTAAAGGGTAAAAAGGTCTTTTACCCTAGTTTGGACTCTTAGTGTGAGTCGGGATCCAATTATTAATTGGATGTTATTTTGTGATGATAGCGTAGGGATTTTAGCGAGCCAGCATCCGAAGATTTATCTATGAGATTCAGCAGTCTGAGGTGAGTTTCCTCACTTGGTTAGCAGGACGAAGGCACCAATGCCGACCCATGATTATTATGTTAGCATGCTAAATATATGCGTGACTCTTACATGTGTTATGTGTTGGTATATATACCGAGCGGGGCTCGATGTTGGGTGAGGCTCGATGACTGTATTGTATGCCATTGGCTTTGTGATTATCGTATGTGTTAGCATGATTATATATTTGAATGTGTACCAGGCGGGGCCCAATGTCAGGCGAGGCCTAATGAATGATAGATCTGTAACCCGAGCGGGGCTCGATGTCGGGCGGGGCCCGAGGCCGAGTGAGACTCGATGCCGGACGAGACCCGATGTGGGGTGGGGGCCCAGTATGTGTTTATTTTGTATTGTATGTGGTATTTGGGGAACTCGCTAAGCTTTTTGCTTATGGTTTTCAGTTTATGTTTTAGGTACTTCAGGATCGAAAGGGGAGAAACCGGTATGATTGCAGAGCACACGCCACCTCTTTCCGCATTTTGAGATTTACTCTAATATGATATGATGTAGTGACATACTTTGGTCTATTTGGTTTGTATGACAATGTTTTGACGTACTGTTTATTTAAATTAAAAATGAATTTTTTTGGGTCTTATTATTGAGACGTTACTAGTTGGTATCAGAGCCTTGGTTTGAAGGATTCGGACATACTCTTGGGTGTGTCTGAACTCAAACTGAGGATTTGGTAAAGTTTTTTTTTTCAAAAAGAAGTTTTTTAAAGAAAATGGTTTTCTAATACAAGGAAGGGTGTGGTGCATGCAATCGACCGAGCTCAAGTAAGTTTTCCCAAGATACCCATACATGTTATCTGATATAATTTGATTTGTGAATTTGTGAATCGGATGCTAGTTAGGGCTACGGGTCTGCTCAATATTTGCATAATAGAATGCTATGAGAGATGCCTTTGTATGGCTATTGTATGAGCTTGTAGACTTGCATGATAGTACTTATCAGTCAGTGATAGGATGACCTGATTAGGTTATGCTTGGTTCTGATTACTTGATGCTAAAATGTTGCTTGCTTTGTGATTTTTAGGAGTTATCACTAGTTTTAGCCAACTAGTAAGTGAATATGTTAAGTGACATATTAATGAGACTAGATAATTTTAGAAGGTTACGTTTTAACTATATTGCGCAGCTCTTGTTTGAGTCCAACCATTGTAGTGTGAGACCTCTCATTCGAAGAATTATCTGGTTTTAGTGATACGTAATTGTATACGTGAGATAGGTAGATGAAGTTAGCGGGAGTTCCTTTTGCAGATGATAGCAGAGAGTGGAGTGGAGTTTGGCCTACGAAAACCTAAGAAGCGATTTAGTGTTGGGAGCCTTATCCTGATGAGGGTTAATTGTATGGATATAAAGTGAACTGGAGGATTCAAGGCAATCCTTGAGGAAAGTGCGGATAGATGTAGAAGGTAGTATGGGCCCGTACTACT